CCTGGATACTTCATGGAAAAACAATATCAGAGATTTATGCATGTTGGAAGGGACCTTCAGACATCTCTGGTTCAGCCCCTGCTTGAAGCAAGTCCAGAGCAGATTGTTCTGGGTCGTGTCTATGAGAATACTGAATTCCTGCAAGGATGAAGGTCTCATGGCTTCTCTGGGTCCCTGTTCTAGTGTTTGACCACCTCATGGCGAAAAAAATAATAATTTCATATATATATATAGGTAGAATGTCCTGAGTTCTGACTTGTGCCTGTTGCCTCTAGTCCTATTGCTGTGCATCTTTGAGAAAAGATTGATTCCATCCTCTCTGCACCCTCCCAGAATGTGACTGTAGACGGTAATAAAATCTCCCCATCGCATCCATCACCATCTCCTTGTACATCTTGCACTCAAGCCCTCTGAACATCTTGATGACCCTTTGCTGGACTTCCTCTAGGATGCCCTTGCCCCTCCTGTATGGGGAAGCCACGCTTTTACCGATATGTCTCACCAGTGCTGCGGGGAAGGATCACCTCCTTTGACCCTCTGGCACTGTTCAAAGGGCACATTGTTGGCTCCTGATCAACCTGTTATCCACCAGGAACCCCAGATCCTTTCCCTCAGCACTGATGTCTTTCCCGCTGGCTCCCTGCCTGTGCCGCCGCACTTCATAGTCTGCACTGATACTTTTTTTTGCTAAGGAGCAGTTCACTTGGTACAAAGCATCTTAGAAAAGAGACTTTGATGTTATTTGGATTTCACTAGTTATGATGAACACGCCTTTTCAACCTGCTTAGATGTTCCTGCTTTTCAATATCCCTGGGGCAAGGTCATGCCCCTAAAACACATACCTATGAGACAGCAATATTCTCGAATAATGCACTCTCTTGCAGCACAGGATCCACAGCAGTACTGCTCTGAGTAAACACGAGGTGTGAACTTTCACATTATTCTGTGTATACGAAGTCAAGCCTAACCTATCCTGACTTAACATTTAGATGGATGTAATTTTGGGACGTTCTTTATTCTCATTTAAGCACTAACAGGATAGAAAATGTGGCCATCTGTCTGGTACCTGGGCTAAACTGGTGTATTATTTTACAGGGAAGCCATATCTGACATGAAAAGAGCAATGTCCACATCCTTTAATTAAAATCCATCAGTGTTTTTAACCGTACAGATTCAGTTCCATAACACTGAAATGTGTTGATATTAAAGGCAACGAGACAAATTTAAGAAGTTTGCTTGTCACTTCAGATCCTGTGTAAGCTGCGAATGAAAATCAGCAGGTCACTTCTAGGTGGAGTTTTCAGTCGGTGCAGTAACAACCACATCTATCAATGAAAGGTTGTATTGCACATGATGCGGAAAATATTATTGAAACAGTAAGGAGCAGGCTAATGCACCTTGTGTCAGGACTATTACGGAAGTCTACAACAGAGGTCAGACCAGTTCTGAAATATGTCAGCTTCTGACTGTAGGGGAAGACACGGAATTTTAAAATGCTAGTGAGAAAAAAACGTACAAATGAGAGGATGTAGTCACTAGACAAAAAATGGTAATTCTCTTGGACTGTTTTATCCAGTTTGAGTGGGCTTTGATAGAGGTTACAAAATTTGCTGATATCGATTTCAGAAGAAAATACAAGCGAGAGGGAGGCAGTGCTGGACGTCGTAAAGCACAGTGCCTGACCCTTGCAGACACCCTCTGTGCAGCAGTAGCACCCGAGCAGCAATCAATGTGGGACACCTCGTGCTGTCCAGGAGTTCGGGCAGAGCGAGTCCCAGCAAGGAAAGCCCCATCTGGGGCACCTCTTGGGACAGGGGGACCATGAACTAGTTGAGATCTTAGATCCATACTCCTGTGGCTCACAGAGCCAGGCCTTGGGCACCAGACCCCTTGCAGCTGTTAAGTGTTACCCGAGCAACGGACTACTGTACCTGCTAGGAAACAAAACACTTCTTTTTTTTTTGTTTTGTTGTTGTTTTTTTGCTAAATGCAATGCCAGAAGCTCCTCACCAATTTTAGTCCGTATTTCAAACAGTTAATTTTCATCTCAATCTGTGTCACCCCAGCCTTTGGGAAGCATCCCACGTGACCCCTGGACTAATCCTTGCAGTGTTGGCAGAGAGTATCCCACTTGTCTTCCTCAACAATGCATTCCTTAGAGAAATCCAGTGAACTTTTACGAAACAAAGAAGGCTTGTTTTGCACTGGCAAGGCTCAGATCGAGTGTTTACTCTGCATGCTCAGTGTGCAGCTTGCAAATATGTGCTGCCCAAGCTGCCTGGGACCTTGAAAACAAACTGAAGCAACAAATTTTGGGCACGCTCCTGCAACCAGGTCTTCAGTCAGCTGTCTGAACCTGGGACTTGGGATGGCAGAATCCAGCATTTTGGAAAGAAGGACTGACTTCGCCACATTAATATTGAGTCATGCTCCCTGACAACTCTTTGCATGGGAGAACAGAGCCCTCACATCAGCGTAACTGTATTTTCATTTTATCTCATCCACCAAATCTCTGCTCTAATCCAGGCTTAGCAATGGAAGATGGTGGTAACTCATGTTGAACGCTTCAGAAATGCCTCAACACCGGTAACCAAACCTGTGGATAAACCTTTGTAGCCAGGTAACTTCAGCAAACAAGGCGCCCTCAGGTCAGGGTTGTTTTGTGCTAGCAACTGGTCAGGCACAGAAGAAAATTTCGTCTTTGTGTGGAATGCCTAATTTTACTCAGTGCCTAAATTAAAGACCAATAAGAAGTGATGATGGAGCTAAGGGCAGGACTAACAAGATCTTGACATGTACCAGGAATTTATCTGCATGGTTTTCAAGGACCAGGGCTGATAGGGAGGGAGAAGAGAGAAAGAAGGAGAGAGAGAAAGAAAGTGAAAGAGAGAAAGAGAGGGAAAGGAAGGGAGGAAGGAGGAAGAGAGAGAGGGAGGGAGGGTGGGAGGAACGGAGAGAAGAAGAAGAAAAGAGAAAAAAACCGGTCATATGAGACCTCATCCCCATCACAGTAGCTGGGTTTCTTTGCAGCCTCTGAGGCCACCAGGCAACGTTCCTCGGACTGCAACTGTTCAAGCCCTGCATTTTATCCATTCTATTTAGTCGATCATACATCCACAGAGCACTTCCTTAAACTCAACAGGTTTGCATGACTATAAGGACAAAATATAACATCCACAGTCTTCACACAGAAAGAGGAAGAAAGAGAGAAAACTGAAACTACAGTTTCTGAAAACCAAAGAATACAAAAAAAAGAAGACGACAGACATTCAAACTTGACAGGTTCTGTAGAACAGCATCAGTGTAAGTAATTTCTGTGTTACAGCTTGTGACTAATTCACTTATTTCAGAAAGAAGGAAAAAATCTGCTTGGATGGGTACCAGGTGATTCAGAGAAAAAGAGGTGATCCAAGTGTTGTTCTAGGAAATGAAAACAAATCTCACTCCCAGTGACCCAGCTGGGTCACTGACAAGTTTCCTCAGAAAGACATGAGTTTGTTAAAATACGCTTTTTGCATCATAGTTCTTGAGCCCAAGATAGAAAATCTAAAATACAGAAACTGCTGTGAGAATTTTAACATCACCTTAGTTTTTTCCAGCTAGATATAAACTGCTAAACAAATAAAAACTAAATTAAAACCCCCATGAAAATAAAACTACCAAACCAAATGAAAATAAAGAAGTAAAGAAAATCTCTGCTCCTTGTAACACAAGGCATTTAACAGAAAATGTGCAAAACGTTGTGCTTGGGTTTGGGGATGCTGGACAGCAAATGGCTGCAATTCTTTTTATCTCAAACTTGACATAAACAAAGGGCAGTGATGGGTCAGCCTCAGAAAACATCTTTGCTGTTTCCTCTGAATTTATTAAATATGGTGGAAAATTCAACAACCTAGCAGCAGTGGCTGTCTGCCTGATTTTCTATTCAAGGGGGATTCTAGTGCAACCCTGTTAAAAAAGCTTACGTCTGGTAGATGAGTCTGGTGGAGTGATTAAAAAAATTACAATTATGAATCAAGTGAACGTGTCCTCCAGAGTACAGTCATTTAGTTATTTAACTGGAATTTGGAGCAAGTGTTCAGCCTCAGGCATTAAAGGTCACCTAAGCCAGAACTGTGAGCAGAAGATTGTACTTCAGTTGCTTAACTCAGGTTGGTGTCAGTGAATGTCTGTGAGCTTCTATGGCAAGGCATGGGGAAAAAGCAATGAAAACATGAGCTGTGCTTCTTACTCCTACTCTTCAAACCCAAATTAGCTTTTTTTAGTCTCAATCTACAGGGGGGATTTGTTAATAACAACTGGAAAATGATTCTACTTGCTAGCTATGAGATACAGAAACAAAACAACATTTATTTATACCAAATTATAAATATTTTTATAGTATGTTCCTGGGAAGGGAGACTGTAGAATTCAGTTATTTGCTTCAATACTCCAAAATTAGAATAGAAGGATAAACAGGATACCAAAGCACAGGAAATTCAGCATGCAAACAAGCAAACAAGAACTTTGCTTCTGATCTTTGCTTTGACTGCAGTGGTGGCCAAATAAGTTGTGTGACATCACAGGGAACAGGACGCTGGCAGAAACGTGTAGAGCCCATATAATGTTTTACCAAAAAGGATGTATGCATTTGAAACCAAATTGCTATGGATCCATTCTCTTTCCATGAATAAAAACCCAACAAAAAACAACTGAAGGGCCGCTTCAGGGATGTTGTTCAGGGATTTGCCGTTTCTCTGGGATTACAAACACTTGTAGCTACATGGTCTGTATATTCATGGTGTGGCTCAACAATTATCCTCTCCCAACACAGCTCGCATGACGTAGGTTGACCCTTGTAAGGGATTTTAGCATGATATTGTGAAGAACACATTTAGTCAGTGCTGAGATTGTTGGCTGAGTACCTACTACTGGGTGAATAAGGACGTGCTATAGGGTTGAGTCGCAACAGATGCACTGAGAAGAGATTAAATAATCTAACACCAACATCAGATAGCTGCTCAAAGCAAAAAACTGCCAAATGATGGTTGGTGCATCTTCTCTGAGGGTGGAGGAGGTGATAACAAGAACCTTAACTGCAGCCTCCGGAAAGCTCGTATGAGAAGAGCAAAGACAGTGGCCTCCACCCGCTCCCCGTTCTCGGCATCCTTGTGTTTGCAGGCACCAGGCTTCCCCAGGCGGTTGGCAATGACACTGATCCCTCACAAAATGAAGGAACGGAAAACCAAAACAAAAGGCCAAACAAATGACTTTAGTTTACTTTTTTTCGGCTTTAATTCTCTGTATTTTCAACCAGGACATGAAAGGCAAAAATCTCAGCTCTAGCTTTTCATGTCTTCATGCACCGATGGTAGATGTTTATGTGGGGTTTGGGTGTTTGCATTCCCAGCATATTTCAGCCTCATTTCTGAATGCACACAACACACTCTGAAAGGCTGGGTAGGTCCTGAGAAGCCAAACTCTTCACAAGCACAAAGCGTACAACCATGGGAAGAAAAGAAATGAAGTAATTTTATTGTGATCAGCAACTGAAAGTATTAAAACTCGAACAAAGCTCCTCCTTCTGGAAAGGAGACATGAAATGCCTTTCAACATTTAAATGACATTTTGTTGAGACCTTAAAAATTGCCTGACTGAGGTTCCATCTCTTGGGTGAGACTTACTGTTTTGTCAGGTTTAGACTGTGTGTCAATGGCAAGGCTTCCAATCGATTTGACAAGCTTTTATGTCCAATTGTGTGATTCAACCTTAAATATGGCAAACAAAACACCTTTGGTGATGCTGTGGGAACAGCAGCAGATACAGGGTCTGAGTGGATGAGAGAGGATGCTCACGGACTCAGGAAGCCAAAAGCTTTGGAGGGAACACAGGGGTGGAGGGAATGCAGATAGACAGGTCCTTAGAAGTCCTCTGAACAATGTTCTTGTGTGACACACAGGAGAAAGTAATGGACACTGAAAGAAAATGTATTTCTGTTTCAAGAGGCAGAAGTCTGGCTTCCTGGGGCCAGATATTTTCTGTAAATTTGCATATGTAGACAGAAAAAGAAATAACTCATTCCTTTTAAGCCCACATTAATATATTCAGATATTCCCTATGTAATATTCCAGAAGAAGAGGCTCAGCCCATTGCATGGCTAATTTCTAGTCCACACTTTTCAATGCAGTAAAACATTCATTTGTATTTTAATCACAGAAACATTAATTTGAAAGACAAAATAGAATTATTTAGACCCCACTTTTCAATGCAGTAAAACATTCATTTGTATTTTAATCACAAGAACATTAATTTGAAAGACAAAATAGAATTATTGCTTTGTAAACATTCCTTCTTTGGATTTTAAATTACACTGCTCACAAAACAGATTACTTCAGCTTGGAAATCTGCATTTTATAAGTAAGCACAGATTCATTATTCTTTCAATGAGAAATTTGGCACTAAAATCAATGCTCAAAATAGTTAGAATATTGTAGAGCCACAACTTCAGATGCCATGGTAAGATCAATTTTCACATTTCCTTCCCAGACATGACCTATTACGTCTCCTCAAATTAAATCTTCCTCCCTTTTAATAAACCTTGAAATATTTATTGATACCCCATCCATATTTTTCTCTCCAGTTCACAAAATTTCAATGTGGTAGATAAATGCCCTTAGAAGGATGAGAGGAGAAAATTCAAGAGGACAAAAATGACAAAGTGATTGTAGCAAACAACTCGTGACACGAATGTTGAAATAATTATTTCTTAATCACTTGAGAGGTGTTAGGATTGCAAAATTATTCTACAATATTGTAGCAGGATTCATTATAGGTAAAACTATCACAGCTTCTTACAAATGGCACAGCCATGGCTGCGGTCAGTGAAGCATTTTGGTGGCTCATGATGTGGGATGCTTGCCTGGTGGTCATGTGGAGGGTGGTACTGACCTTTGATCTCCCACTCCCCCGTGACAGCGTGACTTCTTCAGTGCAGGTCTGGCAAGAAAATCGTCTGGGGAGGAGGCACAGAAGAGTCCAACCCTGCAAATGAAGGCACAGGGGGGTTGATCTCAGGATATTAAAGATCAGGACACACATTGCTGCTGCATTCAAAGGGATGGTTCCCAGATCAGAGTCAGAAATAAGGTAACTTCTTAGGGATTCACTGCTTTGAACTAGTTGAACAGGCTATATGTTAGCAGGGATGATGACTTAGCTAAGCAAACTTCATAAGCAGAAGACAACTGAGAGAATTAACTGTTTCTCAAAAATGCTGGGAGCTTGATCCCCATGAGCCATTGTGTTACACAAGCAGATGAGCTAATTAGTTCAGTGGACTTACAGGACAAGAAAAAATGGCCCTAAGTTGCACCAGGGGAGGTTTCAGTTGGGTATTAGGAAAAATTTCTTCACTAAGAGGTTGTCAAGCACTGGAACAGGCTGCCCAGGGAAGTGGTGGAGTCACCATCCCTAGATATATTTAAAAGACATGTAGATGTGGTCATTAGGGACATGATTTAGTGGTTGACCTGGCAGTGCTAGGTTAATGGTCGGACTCAGTGACCTTAAAGATCTTTTTCAACCTAAAGAATTCTATGAATCTATGATTCTACAGCACTACAATGGGTGACATTCTACCTCTCCTTTGGGATAGCCAAAGCAGTTATACTTTCATATATGCTGGTGAAAACAGGGGTTTGCAGGGTGTCAAAAGTAGTTTTGTAGACATTTGGGTGAGCCACACAATCCCTTCCTTTTTACGGTGAAGTGAGCAAACACAGATTTCAGCGACACATACCAGAAACACAGGGCTTTTCTTGAAGCCTGAAGCAGTCTTAGGGTAAACATAAGAGAAATTCAGTTGACCTTACCAGCACTCGTACTCTGAGCACCTCCTTGTCGAAGCCGAAGTGGTCCAACAAGCACATCCACTTTTTCCTGGGCAGAACTTGCATCTCTCTTGAACTTGCTGCCAGCACAGCCCCGGTAGCAGCGGGAGGAGTAATCCCCGAGTCTGCACACTCGCAGCTCACACCGTAGGTAAACTGACGGATAGCGGCTGATGAACTCAAAGGCATTGAATTTGAACCGAGCAAAGTGGCTGGAGGGGCAGTAGTACGTGGCATAGGAAGAGTCTCTAGCACAGCTGGGAAGAAATGAAAAAGAGCGTTGGGCTTCATGGGTTTGCACATGTACATTCCTGTAACAATGTAGTAGGTCAAACCAAAACCGTATCATAGCCAGGTACTGAGAACACACCAGGATAAAAATGCAGCTTTTATAGCATGATATAGACCTTTAAAATATAGACTTATTAAGTCCTAGGAAGCAGCTAGAGCATTGACAATTCTTTTATTTTTATTTTTTTTCCCAGAGAAGGAGACTGTAAGTGATGAAGAGAGAACAGAGTCTTACTAAAATCTGCGCTATATGAGGCATAGAAAAATGAGTCTAGTGCCTGACCTAGGACAATAGATTCCTGCTACCAGTTTTCACTAACTCATCTCATCTACGTCACTATGACTACTTTGAATTTTGCATATGGTACAAAGATGAAGTAAGTGAAACAAAATGTTGGTAAAGTCTATATGACATTTCTTATTTCCAGGCCATACTGTAAAAATAAAATTCAACAGTCTGTTGATAATGAGATCTGAACCAATTCATATTGGCTCTATTCTTTTAAATAAATGCAGAAAGGGTACTACAGTTATGCTTCTAATGACTTGAGAAATCTCTTACCCATTCTTGATTATATCATAGGCCACAGTGTTGAAATCACGAGGATCAGGTGACGCCACACACGTGTCCACAAACACGATCAGATTTGGGTCAGAGCTGTGAAGATAAGCTTGAAGGTATAGATTCTGGTTCAAGTCAACGTAGTATGGAGAGTCGTGCACTTGCCGCAAGAATGATGAGGAATCATAAAAAGTGATGTTTATGTCATATCTTCCAAACTGATTTTCATTCACGTCTACAGCATCCTCAGCAACATACATTATTTGTTTCCATGTGTTCTGCAGCATTTTGCAACTGATATGTAAGTGAATATCCTTTTTCCTCCTGATTATGTACCCAGAAGATGTGACTTTGATCACGTTGGAATAGTTGATTGTATCACTGTTCTCCTGTTTAACATGTAATTTAAAATGAACAATGGCATTTTTGTCACATTCCACATTCTACGTTTTAATAGAGTAATATGCAATTAAAAAAATGTGGATTCATCCTAAACTGTTCAAACCAAGAAGCTTGATGTTTGTCATTTCTGCTCGCAATAAACATACTGAAGTAGATAATTAAACAGAAATTATTAGAGAAAAACTCTTAGTTAAATCCAAGACCAAGCAAACTCATTGAATATGAGCAAAACATCAATCGTGCAGTACACAGTCATCCCAGACCTTCATGGCACTTACAAGGCTACATCCACTTTAAATCATAGAAAGTTCATTGAATTTCCTTTTGTGCTTTCACCTCTAGAAGCTCATTTCTATTAAGCATGGGGATTCCCTAAGGTGTGGAAAGCTAAACCACTAAAAACCTCCAGGTCTCATTGGTTCTATTCTCAACACTGTGGACCACCATGGCCCTTTCACCAGAGGGGTGAGCGTACCTCTTGCGTCGTCCCACAGCCGTCGTAGGGAATGTTGAATATAACCTCGCGTGACGTGACTGTTGGTTTACAGCGACGGTCGTTCAGTGTGACCATGTGCGCCGAGTAGCCTTGAGACTCCAGATAGTCTCTGCTAACCACCGCGTGCATGTAGTCTGGCAAGCACAGAAGGGCTGGTAGAAGAAGAAAGTGCAATGTATTAGTGATTTCAGGTATTTGTTAACAATTAATTGTCATAACTGAACTAAATATTGTGGGGTTTTTTCTTACTTCAGAAGGTAGACAGTTTGCACACCAACCCATTGTATCTCATATGAATAATTTCATATCCCTACCACCTTTAAACATACACAAACACTTATTTTGCACACAAAACCAATAAACAGGCTTATCCATAGAGAAACAGCCACCGGGAACTTACTAGTGTTGTGATGTGCTGCAATGGAGGAGTAGTGAGCCTGAAACCCTCGGAAGGTGTGTCTAGAATCACTGTGAAAGCGAACGGTCATCATATTTGAAGAGGATATGTATGTGCGAAGGGAACGAGAGCAAAGTCTCCCAAGAAGCGGGGATGAGTGTGGAGGCCCATCATAGACTTCAACATAGTCATACCGGCATCTGCCTCTTTGCATTCTGGAAACCAAATATCAACACCTTGTCAAAGGCACTTCAGAAGCTCTGACTTACTGCCTAAAATATGATAAAATCTCTCAGCCCTTGAAGTTTTCATGGCAGGGGTTTTATTTTCTTTGCACGTAGCTGTAGCAGAAAATTGTAAGCAGTAAATGCTACAGTAGTCCAGATTTTGTTCAGGTCTTCCAACTGCCGGATGTTATTGAAAACATCTTTAAAATTGGGAGTATTATCTGTTTCAAATAAGTTTTTAACTTGTAAGTTTTCACTCAGCAAATCAACGTCATACTTACATAATATCTCTAAATGTGAGCATAACGCGGAAATTGTTCTCTACTTGTATCTCCCACACGCAATCCACATTGTTTGGATAACTTCCAGGGTAGAAGGGACTTTGCAGTATCCCAGAGGAATTTGAGATTAAGCCACCACAAAAATAGGGTGCTGCAGAAAGAAATGGAAGAGAATTTACTTGCAGTAACCCCTACAAAAATGTACATGAGCCGTGTGTGTCTTATCCACAGCTGTTGAAAAGCAGATCTCCTGCTGGCTGCAATGATAGTCTTAAAGACCCAAATCAAAACAAATATTTGTTTTTGCTTTAGGGTTACTTGCACATTGGATTTGGGATTCCCTGTCACATCCATGATGCCAGACCACCCTCTTCAGGCAGGGCTGGTAACACGCTGGTGTTTTCTGCTCAAGTGTCTCCATTCTACAGTTGAGGTCTTATACTGGGAGGTGTCATGACATCAAAAATAGAAATACTTTCCTGAACAGATAGCATCCCCTCGGTTATTCTGCTGCTTCTTTTTATTCCTCTAAGGACTTTGGAGGATAAATAAATTGCAAGTCTTATAGGGAACGCTGTAATTTTATGGTCTCAGACTGAAATAAGCACTCTAGGCTGCTGGGCCAAGTCTTAAATATATCTTATTTCTCCTATAAGTGTAGCTGCAAAAAGCTTTTATGTTCCTGCCAGCACAAATAATTTTTATGTAAAACATACAGATAATCCTACCAGTTTCCTTATAGGAAGGTGAGCACAAGATCTGAACTTAATTTCTGCAAGTCAGGACACAGAAAGATAACAACCCTCCAATTTCATATTCCTGCACAGGGACATCCCTCAGTGCAGCACACTGCTCCCAGCCTCAGGATTTTGGGATTCACGGGCTATTCCAAACTTGGGAGAATCAGCTGTACCCAGACACTTCCCTTTCCTCCGATCAGGCTGGATGACTTCTCAGGCACATTCACTTTTGTACTATTTTCTACTGTGAATGATCAAACTCTAAATCTAAAATCTGCATTCAACAGCAAAAGTAGCAGGTTGAAGACCATAACAGCTCTAGTAAGCAAAAGAGCCAAAAATTGACCACCACCCTGCTAATACTGTTGTAAGGGTTTAAAGTTAGAGTTTTGGCCAACACTCCCTAAGGCTTGATCAGGCTGAAAAGCCTGGTGAGGAAGAGAATTGCCCACAGCCAAACGGCACAATTGTAAAATAAACACTACTGAAATAAAAGGAGACATGGCAGCCTCTCTCAGAATTACCATGCAACTTTAAAAGTGGTATCGCCTAGAAACAAAAGTAAAATTTTAAAAAGCCCAAAAGGGAGACATACCACAAATAATAAAGAAGAGAGACAGAAGAGCATTACCTGATGGAGGTGTAGGCATGGCAGGAGCACCTGTGGGTGTAAAGAGAGAAGAGCCAAGTGAAACAAGTTTCTCAGGAGAAAAGTACTGAAGCAAAAACAAGGACCAACCTTGAGGGACAGGGTGCCATGAGGGGGGTCATGTGGACATAGAAAGCAAAGCACAGAGATCCACGGGCACCACAGGAAGGAATTTGGTGTCAGTATAAAGGGCTCTGCACACAGTCAGCCCAAAGCAGCCCGTCCTTGAACACCACGTGGAGGCCTTTCAACCAGTTGGACTGATCACAGGGACATTTCTGTTTCTCACAGACACCTGCTCCCCAGACAGCAACCACGCGCCCACAGAGGTCTAACTTGCATTACAAGACATTGGCTGCAGCAGCTTCCATTTTTTTAAGTCATATCCCACAGCCTGGAGCACGTCTAGGAAAGAGCCGTGGTCCTACCCATGACACACGTGGCATCAGGCCGGGGTCCTGCCAGCCCGGCCCCAACTGCCGTCACCTCCCTGACTGTTTTGGGGATTTGGCTGCAGTGACCATGAGTTTGGGCAGCGCAGACCCAAAAGAACAAGGGAAAAATCTGTGAGTGAGCCAAGACACTGGGTGTGCAGAAGGCAGAAGATTGTGGGTCTGTCAGAGCACCCTGGGGGT